CCGTGGCCGCCACCGGCCCTCCCGGTTTTCTCCCTGCTCCGAAACTGCACCCAAGGCGCCTCTTCTGTGCTTCGGCACAGGTCGGGTCCTCCTCCCCGGATGCTCGTGGGCGGAAGGGGTGCTCTAAAGCCGGCCTGGAGCCTCAGGTCCCCTAGCGCTTGTCCCGTGCGGGGGTCCTGCCCCGCTGGGTCCTCTGCCCCTCTTTTCTACCCAAGACAGGTTGGAGGATTCCTGAGGCCGCCGGGAGGTGGGGCGCAGGGACGGAGAGCCGGCTGGGAGCCCCTCTCGGCGCCGGCCTGAGGTCGCACCATCAGCCCCTTGCGGTGGGCAGGACGCGAGCTGTTACCCCGTTTGTGGGCGGGGAGGCGGGCTCCCAGAGGGAAGTGCCCACCAGCTTGGGGTCGCCGAGCCAGACCCGGGGACTCCTCCACCGCCGCAAACCCCGTCCGCCCAGGAGAAAGGGGCCCTGGGGGTCCGCTCTCCATAGAACTGGGACCCGGGACGCTGCGACGCAGCCGCTTCGAGGACTCGGGTTGTGGACTGTGTGTGGCCGTGGGAAGATGGTCACTTACGTCGTTTAATTGCCAGGGTGCCTGTGCAGGACAGACGGGACAACGCACCCAGCGAGGCGGGGTCTCACCGCAATCCCTGCTCTGCGGTTCCCCCGGCCGGCCGGCGAATTTAGCGCGTGCTGGCGGTGGCGGGCCCGACTCTAACCTCGGAGTCGTCGGTGTGTGATCCGGCTCCGATCCGGCTCTCTTAACCGCCGGGCCACCAGCAGCTGGCCCGATCACGGTGGTTTGGTCTTGCTTTTAGATACATAGTCTACGTACACATTTTAAAAGCAAATAGAAATGCAAATGCTGAGCCATCCACAGTGACTGCGCCTGGCAATTGGCAGGAGCTGTGATGGGAGAGGATTTCCTTTTTTCTGAGTTACTCAAATTACTCACTACTTACACATATAAAACAGAAAGCCGCACAGTGATTCAGGACTTGTTTGGCGAAAGTGAAAAACAAACAAAAAACCTCCATAGTAGAGACTGTTTGGGCCCAGCCTCTGTGATGCAGTGGGTATCCGCAGTAGAGTGTAAGAGTAACTTAAGGGGGACCGGCAGGTGGCAGTGGTTCAGGGAGTTGGACTCGCACATGGCTGACCATGGTTCAAGTCCCAGGCCTGGCAGCTTGTTTTCTTGCTTTCCCTCTCTCTCACTCACTCACTCCGTCCCTCTCTGGTGAAATGAGAGTAAATAAATAGTTCAATAAAATAATTTTCAAATTTTTAAAAAAGAGTAACTTAAGGGACGAGTGTAGTGGTTAAAGTACCAGACTCCCATATGGTTGACCGCAGTGTGGTCCCGGGCCTGGTGACTTGAAATTCATGCCAGGTGTGTGTGTGTGTGTGTGTCCAAAATCCCAGGAGGAGAATGGAGGAAAAGGGATTGGGGTATGGCCGTCCCCCGGGAGGTGGTTTCTCACTTTACCTATCACGTTCTCTCTCTTTCTTCTCTGAGCACTCTGTCTCTCTCCCATGACCACATGCGCCCTTTAGCAAAAACCTGAAAAAAAATAACATTCACCAGTAATGCCTCTCCAATCCCATATAGATAATTGTTTTTCTTTCTAGTTGGTTTCTTCCTCTACAAGATGTGAAGCGCTGTATGAACCGTGCAGGAAGAGGGAGAGAGTGCATGTAACTGCTGACATTCCAGAAGTGTGCGCTATTTTTATAGGTAACAAAATCAACAGAATGCAGAGCGTTGTTTAGACACCACTCTCCTCACTTACACCATCACTTTATGAATGATGAAATTTCTCAGGTCAACTCTTCTTTAAAATCGGTACTTTTAGGGGGCCAGCAGGTGGTGTGGTGGTTAAGGGCTGGACTCCCACATGGCTTACTGCGGTTCAAGTACTGGACGTGGTGGGTTGCTTTTTCACTCTTCCTCTCTCTCTCTCTCTCTAGTCAAATTAAAATAAATAAATAAATAAATAAATAAATAAACAAAGTTAAATAAATAATTCTTTCCAAAACTTTGTGCTGTCAGTGATGGCACAATGTTTATATTTCAGTGCAATCTAGTATCTGCTATTGTGGAATCGTCAGATTGTTTCCATTTTTGCTGTTAAAATAACAGTGAGATTCGCATCCTTCAACATCTATCCTTGTCAGCATTTCCGATCTTTCCTTAGATGCTTTTCTAGAGAGGTAGGATTACTCGGACAAAGGGTGCAAATATTTTCCGGGCTTTTGATTCAGGTTACCAAATTGCCTCCCAGAAAGATCTTGCCAATGTACACGCCCACCTGCAGCGTGTGAGCACTCCTGCCCCACAGCACACAAAGGAGGGATTTTCTCAGGATGGCTGAGGTGGACCAAGTAGAAGGAGCTCGGCAGGGAGGGAGAGCTGACATTTCTGGAGGAAGACAAGGTATCTAAAGAGGTGAAGTCTGGGCCAGCAGGTGGCATACAGGTTAAGGCAGCTGGGTCCATCACGGCCCACTGGGCTGTTGGAGTCTCAGACCCTGCAGCTTAAAACGTCGAGCCAGGTGAGTGCTTGTACCCAAAACCCTGAGAAGAGAATGGAGAAGGGTTTTCCCCTGGGAAATAATTTCTCTCTCACTTTCTCTGTTTCTTTTCGGTGAGCACACACAGGCCCTAAAACAAAACTAAAAAAAAATTAAACAGCAAAACAAGTGAAGTTCATGGGAGAAAGGGAGGGGATTTGGAGCAGGTTTGCGAGATTGTCTTGGACTAAAGAAAGAACACCTCGGGGCGAGCGGGTGGTATGATGGTTAAGGTGCTGGTTCAAGCCCAGACCCAGTGGCTCGTGTGCGTGCGTACCAAAAATGTCCCGAGAGGAGAATGGAGGAGAAGGGATTGCAGTGTGGCCATCCCCTTGGGGGGTGATTTCTCACTTTTCCTCTCTCTGTCTCTGTCTCTCTCCGGTGAAAATGCACATGACCTGTGGCAAAATCACAAAGGAAAGAAAGAAAGAAAGAAAGAAAGAAAGAAAGAAAGAAAGAAAGAAAGAAAGAAAGAAAGAAAGAAAGAACATCTCGCTTTCTGAGACAGATGGAGAAGGTGTGACTGAGGCGTTGATATCAACTCTTTCGAAAACAAGTAGGTGGATTCAGGAGGCTCGTCCCAGGAGTCTCCCTTTCTCAGTGCAGTTGGAGGCTGGGTCATCACCCAAAGGTAAAAGGTGAGTTGGAGGAGAGGACTCGAGGAGAGGGAGGCCACCCTTGTGCTTGAGGAGAAATAAGGGTTGACGGTCCAGGCGAGGTTGCTGTGGCACCGTTCTGTAGAGCTGTGGGGACTTTTGCTACCACGTACAGCCACCTAGAGGGAAAAGGAGTACACTTACTATTTTAAATCACATCTTCCTTAGCACGTGGCAAGCAGTAGAGAGCAACAGGACTGGGAGGATTCATGGTAGTGGAGTTTATGAACTGGAGTTATATCAAACATTCAAGAAACAGGACCTTTATTCCTGTCTTACATTGGTTTTTCCAGAAAGAGAAAAGAGCAAGAGCTGCCAGATCATTTTATGAGGCCAATGTAATCTCTTTTTTTGAGATTTTTGCTATAGGGTGTGTGTGCTTGCCTGAGGGATAGACAGACAGACAGATGGAAAGCAAGAACTCACTCCCCAGGAGGAAGGATGGCTATACCGCAATCCCTTCTCCATTCTCCTCTTGGGACTTTGGGGATGCATGCATTCGCACCTGGTGTGTGTTTTAAACTGCTGAGTCTGGGATTTGAACCATAGTCGACCTTATGGGAGTCCAGAGACATAGCCATTATACCCTCTGCTGGTCTCTAGGCCAAAGCAATCTTGATTCCAAATCAGTAAGGACAAAGCAGTAAATAAAAAAGTTAAGGCCATTTCACTTATGAATGTAGATATAAAACTTTTAAGTGAGGGACCAGCAGGTGGCGCAGTGGCTAAAGTGCTGGACTCCCACATGGTCATCTGCTGTCAAGTCCTAGACCTGGCGGCTTGAAACTCACTCCAGGTGTGTGTGCGTGCATTCCCAAAATCCTGAGAAGAGAACAGAGGAGAAAGAATTATGGCATGGCCATCCCCCTGGGGGATGATTTCTTGCTTTCTGTCTCTCTGACTCTCTGGTAAGTGCACATGCCGTATAGCAAAAACCTCTCACACACACACACACACACACACACAAAAATCTTAAGTGAAATATCAGTTAACTAATCCAGTCATACGTATTTTAAAAAAGTACATTATGATTGAGTAGAATTCATTCATGTATTCCAGATTGATACAATGCTGGAAATCACTTAATAATGGATAAACATCTTGTGATTACCTTAGATGATGAAAAACATTTGATAAAGTTTATCACCTATTTTTTATTTGAAAATAACTTACAAAACTGCAAATAGGAGAGGTGTCTTTCACTTGGTAAATGTTATATAGCAAAAAAAGAGAAAGCAAACATTAATGCTTAATGAAGAAACTTTGGGTGCATTTTCTCTCTTTTCTTTTTTTACTCTACTGCATGTGTGCTCACAAGAGAGAGAGAATGAAAGTGATTAATTACCCCCCAGGGGAGATGGCTATGCCACAGTCCCTTTTCCTCTATTCTCCTCTTGAGAGAGATTGCTGTGGCACCTGTGGCATCTGGGCACCTGCACACATGGCCTGGTGTGATTTTTCAAGTACCAGTGCATTCTTCATGCATTCCCTTTAAGATCTGGATTAACATAAGGACTTTGACTGCTACCATTTAATATATAGTAATGAAGGTTCTAGACAAAGTGATAGGGGAAGAAAAAATATACAGGATAAGAGATGGAATTACCACCATGTGAAAGTAAAATTTCATTTGCCCTGAAAAACACAGAATCAACACGTAGTTAAAACTATAAAGGTAATCTAATAATTTACTAGGTATAAGAGTAACTTAAAAAACAAATCCTTGGGACCAGCAGTTAGCGTAATGGCTATGTCACTGGACTCCCATGTAGTCGACCACGGTTCGTGTCCTGGACCCAGTAGCTCAAAACTCATGTCAGGCGCGTGTGCATGCGTGCCCAAGATCCCGAGAGGAGAATGGAGGAGAAGGGATTATGGCATGTCCATACCCCCTGGGGGGTGATTTTTCACTTTCTGTCTTTCTGTTTCTCTCTGTCTGTCTGGCGAGCGCACGTGCCCTGTAGCAAAAACCTCTCAAAAAAAAAAAAAAAAAAGTCCTTAATGGGTTGGTCGTGGTTCAAGTCCTGACCCTGGTGGCTTGAAGAACATTCTAGGCTTGTATGTATGCACACCCAGAGTCCCAGTGAGATGGAGAAATGGGGGAGAGGAAAATGTAGAATGACCACACCCCTTTGGGGAGTGCTTTCTCCCTCTTGTTCCCTTTGGCACGTGCATGTGCAATAATAAATAAATAAATAAATAAATAAAACCCAACTTTTTTTTTCATCAGCAACAACCAACTTTTTTTTCAAAATAGCAATAAAAAGCATATAAAATTGCTAGTAATAAACTTAATCAAGAATAACTATAGAGAAAGTCATAACTCCAATAAAGGATGAATACATGGAGAGAAATGTCATGTTCTTGGATGTAATGACTTAACATTATGTAGAAATGAGCTCTTCATGAATTAATCTATAAATGCAATAAAATCCCAAAAGAAACCCCAAACATATTTCCTGGGAACTTGATAAAGTCATTCTAAACTTTAGACGGACAAAGAAGACTAACTCGACTTCAAAACAGAACAAAGAGCAGGATGGTGTCCTACCATATATTGAGCACACCGTCATGTCACATAAAAAGCAAGCAAAACAAAATAATGGCATGGGACCAGCAGTTAGCGTAATGGCTGTGGCGCTGGACTCCCATGTAGTCGACCGCGGTTCAAGTCCCGGGCCCAGTGGCTTAAACTCACGTCGGGCGCGTGTGCGTGCGTGCCCAAGATCCCGAGAGGAGAATGGAGGAGAAGGGATTGTGACATGGCCATCCCCCCTGGGGGGTGATTTCTTGCTTTCTCTCTCTGTCTGTCTTTCTGGCTAGTGCACGCACCCTATAGCAAAAACCTCTCCAAAAAACAAACAAACAAACAGACAAACAAGCAAACAATGGCATAAAATGAGACCCATAGACTAGATCAGAATAGAAAGCACAGGGTCATGCTGTGAGTACATCAGTGGGATGTACCCCAAATTAACAAAGAAGGAGAGGGTTAAACCAGCTTGCTGACAAAATAAAACAGCATCCCTGCCTCCCACCAAATAAGAAGGCAGACACTAAATGAAGGAAGACTTCAAGGAGGAAAAGAAAACTCTAAAGCTGATAGAAGAAAATATAGGACAGTATCTTTGGGACCCGTGTTGGGAAAGAGACTCCTCAAACGAAACTTCAAAAGCACAAACCAGAAGGCACAAAATTGATAAATTTGATGATGCCAAAGTTAAGGATCTTGTACCAAAGAGAAAACCATGGACAATAGGTGACAGAATGGGAGTAGATATATGTAAATTTGAACATAAGGGATTGATACATAGAACATGCAAGTACCTCATACAAGCCAATAAGCAAAAGAGCATTACCCATTTCCTAGCCAGCCTGTAAGGAGCTTGGAAGTTGTCACTCTACTGTAATAAGTAAAAATCTGAGCAAACCAAAAATCAGAGAACTGATGACAAACTGTCACCCACTGGAGAGACAGACAGATGGACACTTCCAATATATGAAACAAACCCATGAGCTGAAACTTCCCCAGGACCCAGCACTGGGGTAGGAAAGTTTGAAATGCAGTTGAGGAATTCTTGGAGGCTCAGTGTGGACATAGCTGACAATCAAAACCCCAGGGGAGGGACCAGCACTTAGCGTAATGGCTCTGTTGCTGAAATCCCAAGTAGTCGACCAAGGTTCGGGTCCCGGACCCAGTGGCTTACACACATGCTGGGTGCGTGTGCGTGTGTGCCCAAGATCCCAAGAAGAGAATGGAAGAGAAGGGACTGTAGAGTGGCCATCCCCCCTAGGGGGTGATTTCTTGCTTTCTATCTCTCTGTCTCTCTCTGTCTTTCTGGCAAGTGCATGCGCCCTATAGCAAAAACCTCTCC